GAGACGGAGGTTGCGGTGAGCCGAGATCGCGCCATTGCACTCCAGCCTGGGTAACAAGAGCGAAACTCCGTCTCAAAAAAAAAAAAAAAAAAAAGGCACCCTACCACTCTCTTCCAAAGTTTAGCTTCAGAGGCCTCAAAGTTTGTGAAAATTTCTGCCAGAGTTGGATCTTAAGTTGTTATTCTTAATTATTGGTAGTTGGTGGTGTGATTTTCTATCATTTCCTGTAGTCTCATAGTTATTTTTGTTTTTGGGAAAAGCTGGGTTAGAAGCCAGCAGGCCCAGGATAAACTGTTTATAGAAGTCTTTGTGTTTGCTTCTTTCTTTATTAGGAAATGATAATTTAGAAATTATCATTATTATTTTTTTACTTTTTTTTTGGATTAGCAGAAAGGGAGAAAACAAGCTTGATTTATTCTGTGAAAAGCAGATACGGACCATGCATTTAAAATGCCCATATTCAGATATTTAGACCTAATTATCAGTGTTACTTAGCCGCCTGTTCAAGTTTAGAAGGTTCTTGACCTAAAATTCTTCCCAAATATTATTTCAGACACAGATGCTCAGAAATCATCCAATTGAATAGAATTAATGTAAATTATTTTTTTCCAGAAAAATTTGCAAGAAGAAATTGACGCCTTAGAATCCAGAGTGGAATCAATTCAGCGGGTGTTAGCAGATTTGAAAGTTCAGTTGTATGCAAAATTTGGGAGCAACATAAACCTTGAAGCTGATGAAAGTTAAACATTTTATAATACTTTTTTTATTTGTTTAATAAACTTGAATATTGTTTAAAATGATAATTTTCCTTCTTCAAATGACATGGAAAGCAAAACTTTCTTTTTTTAAAATTTTCATTTATTTAATGGAAACTTGCCTATTTTCACATGTCTTGCTTATTTATTTTATATTTTTAAAAGAAGACAGTATTCACCTATGTATTTTGCATAACAATTATATCAAGTCTAGGGGCTTTATGTCATGTTATTAAAATCAGTTAAGCAATCTTTTATGTTTCTATATTATTTAGAATATTTGTTGTCGCAATTTTCACATAAGAAAATTTTAACAGTTGTGTCATGTTGTTTCTATGTGTGATTTTAATTGCTGTCTAATGACCGGGAAAGCATAACTAAAAGATGTACAATCCTGCATCCTTCCCTATTTCACAACTAAAGCTTTGTCAGAGGCTTCAAAATATATATGTATATATTTTATTTAAGTATATGTTACATATTATATTTAAACATACGTATTTTTTACATATCTATCAATATCAGAGATTTGGGTAAAAGAACGGGCAATGTTAAAACATGTGGCTGTATATGGAGCTTTATAGAAACAGTGCAGAACCACAGAAGAACGTTTTAGAAGCCAAGAGATGTGCAGAAAGAAATGTTTAGTGTGTTTTTGTTTTCAATTTTAGATTTTATTGTAGTGCTTTGTAATTAATTGGGGTTTATATTGATAAAGATGTGAAAGTTAAATGGCTATGTACTTAAAGTGAGGCTTATTTCTTAAATAAAGGGTACATTTCCTCCTACTGCCTCCCAAAAGACATACATTTTGGGATTTGGGAGACCTAAGTGTATCAACTTTCCAGCAGATGGCACTGATGTGCCAAAATGTGAGTGGAAGGATCATATCACAAAAATGAGGATATTGTTAGGATTAAATATACCTAACTTTTAGAGAAATATTTTTGAGGCTAAACTGCATATGTATTTTTTGGTTCAATGTTTATAAACATGAATCAGGCTTAAAGATAGACGATTATATAATTTCTAAAGTTCTTAATACTGTAAAGGCAATTTTTTTTTTTAAGATGGCATCTCACTGCCTTACCCAGGCTGGAGTGCAGTGATGTTGGCTCACTGCAACCTCCACTTTCTGGGTTCCAGTGATTCTCCCACCTCAGCTTTCCGAGTAGCTGGGATTACAGGCACGTGCCAGTACACCCAGCTAAATTTTGTATTTTTAGTAGATACAGGGTTTCACCATGTTGGCCAGGCTGGTCATGAACTTCCGACCTCCGGTGATCTACCCGCCTTGGCCTCCCAAAGTGCTGGGATTACAGGTGTGAACCACTGTGCCCAACCAAAGGCAAATTTTTAAATTGCTGCAAAAATCTTCCCAAATAGTGATATTCAAGTTCTAGAAAATGACTCTTACCAAGGGTATTTTTTTCTTGCATGCATTTGGTTAATGTTCAGTTGAAGCAGTGAGGCTGGGGAGATGAGTCAGTCAACTTGCAGTAGGAAATAAAATTAGAATAATTTGAGGAAACTCTAGCCAAAATGATAATGGTGCCAGGTAACCACTAGGGTCCTTTGGTACCATCAAAGGCCGGGGGAGAGAGCAACTGCCCCCTTCACTCCGGACGCAGAGAAAGTTGCTCTTCATCTGGGGAGGAGCACAGCCAGCCTGGGTCAACCCTGCAGTGAGAGAGCCAGGGGACTAGACACCCTGACCTCATTCTCTCTCCCTGCAAAATCCACCTGGGTTCCACCATTGGCAAAACCCAACCGGAATCCTGACTTCTATGGTTCATAGAAGTCAATCGCCTGCAGTGGGGAATGGATGGATCTGGGGACCCCCCCCCCCCGCCCAGTGGAAGATCTAGCATAGGAGGGTGACTGAAGTATAACCCTTTAGAAATGTTGACAATGAACACTCACCTCACATGGGTCAAGAGACTGAACTATGTAATTCACTGGGACTTTAAATTTTGTCCTGCATATTATCAAGAAAACCTAATACAAAAACCCAAATATCTAACATCAGTGGGAAGGAAGGGTGCGATGTTGCTAACTCCATTTTCTTAACTACCTGTGACATTTTAGAACATTACAAATATTTGATTCCCATTTTAAATTCATTTCTAAAGCCTTTGCTTATTTTTATAAATAGTAACTTCCCTGGGCTAGGTATGAAGATGGGCGAACAGCATGCTGCATCTGAAGGGAAAGGAAGAAATGTCAGCTTCATCCAGTAGTTGCCACGGAGGAAAGTTTTGATCTGGATCTGTCACTTTTTTTTTTTAAAGCAGGAATCCTGATTTTTATGTGCAATCGCTATTTTTAGACCTGGCTACTATTTGTGTTTTAAAGCAGTGCAGGCTACACAAAAGATAATTGCACAACAAATCTGACCCTGAGACTGCCAGTTTGCAAATTCAGGTGTACAACGTGGTATGTCTTATGCAGGCTTTTCACAGCAAGTGGTAGTAAGAGTCTTACCAGTGGCTGTGCTTTGCTGCTGACTTTAATGTTGAAATATCTCTCAAATCCCTTCATTTCTTGTCATCTCTGCAAATACCGTGATCCTTGTCCAAGCCTTGTGAGCGCTCGTCAAAAGCATGGCTAAGGAAGGGAGCAAGGGGTTGGAAAAGCCATTTGAGATAAGGTTTTCACAGGGGGGTCTCTAAAGGGTTTTGAACAGAAAGGTAATTTACGCGATTGGAGCAGTATTTTTTTAATAATTTGGCAGTTGTTAGGTGGCTTTTACTGCAAAAAGATGGAGGTAGAAACACCGGATGTTACTGTACCGTCTCTGGTGCGCCTAGCCAGTTGGCTGAAGGAAAGGTACACCAGGACTTAGAGAAAGGGTGAAATGTACAAATTTTGGCAATGATTGGAGAGATGAAGGTGAGGGTAGGAGAAAGCCAAAAAGAACTTGCTTTTGAGCACAGGCCAGTACAGTTTACAACAGGTTTTCTTTGGCTCCTATAATTTAACAACAAAAAACTGAATTTGTGGCCACAATCAAATCCAGAGATCTCACATAAAAATGCACAGTTTGGCGACATTGACACCATATTTCTAAATGACAGTTTTCAGCTGCATTAGACAAAGCAGGCTGCCTCTAGTTCACCCCAGTCCCCACCCAGCCCACTACCCTCATTTATTTTACCTGCATGGTGCCTGTCTGTATTTGCTTTGTGATCTCTGGGTGCCTGCTGGTAGTGTAAGCAGAGGCAGGAAAGAAAGAAGTGTCTGTAGGAAGCACGGCTGAGGAAGGGGAGGGTGAGAGAAGGGCACAAGCTTGGCATCAGCACTTGGACTTCCCAGGGCATCAACCACGTGGAGACGTGTAATTGGCAATTGGAAAAGCGCACTGAAGCTCAGAATACGCAGGACTCGGGAGAGAACCCTTTACATCCTGAAGAAGGGCTTCTTAACATTTAACGCACATAAAAGTCACCTGGGGATTTTGTTACACTGCAGAGTCTGGCTCCGTGTGGGCTCGGGCCTGAGAGACTGCCTTTCTAATGAGCTCCCAGATGCTGCTACTGCCGACACCTGGGGCCATGCATTGGACAGCTAAGGTAGCTTGCCACGAGAAGAGGACGAGGGGGAAATGCAGGTGGGAGGAAAAAGAAACAGCAAAGGAGACAAGCTGCAACGGTAAGGGGAAATCCGCAAGAGTGTGAATCCAAGAGGCCACGATGTGAATGTTGAAAGCAGGGGTGTGAACAAGAGCCAGGAGTATAGAGTGGCCAATAAGAGTCGAGAAGGTGGAGCTCTGTTTGATAACTAAGCAGGTCCTTATTTCCTTCAAAAAAGAGTTAACTGTCTTCTACCCCATACACAAAACTGGAGCATCAAACACCCTAGCCCCCCAAGACTTGAGGCCCCAACACCTGAGCTCCAGACACACCTGAGCCACACACACAGCTGAGCTCCCATAGCTCTGAGCTCCAAAACCTGTTTCCCCACTCCTAAGACCCCCACATCTGAGCCCTACACACCTGTCCCACATATAACTGGGCCTCCATACACCTGAGGTCCCCACACTGGAGCCCCCACATAGTTGAGCCCTCCCCCATTCTTGAATTCTCCACACAGCTGAGTCCCCATGTATTTGATACTCCCCACACTTGAGCTTCCATGCACCTGAACCCCATGCACACCTGAGACCCCCATACCTCAGCCTCCCCACATGTGAGCCCAGACACACGTGAGTTCCACACACACCCGAGGTATCAGCTCCCTCCCATCAGGCACCAGTGCCACACACAGCAGTGATTCTCAGGGGGGATAACTATGTGGTTTGAAAAAGCCTCAACATATCAGGTGCTAAGGATCAACAATACTTTAAAAATTCTCTAATTCAGCGCTTCTCCAGGTGTGAACCTACAACCAATATCACCTGGGAACTTGTTAGAAATGCCAAGTTTTTCCACGGGACTAAATCCTAAAAAAAAATTCCCCATTGGGCGATGATGTGGAGCAACATAATGGTGGTTGTCTTCAAAGATGACTTCATAGAAACTCTGGGGACAGGGCCCAGGGTTTTAACAAGCACTCCAGGTGATTCCGACTTAGCGAAAGAGCTGGTGGGGTTCAAATCATTCTGTCTTTCTGGGGGTGGAGGGTGTGGGCATGATGTAGGGGGAAGAGACTGAAGCACCAGCTGAGAATTCTTAATGCAGATTATAGTGCTGGAGAGGGTAACAAGAGAGGGCAGGATTGAAGAGATTGACTCATCCAGTTTAGGGATTGAGAGTAGCTAGAAGCATTCTGGTTGCTGGTAGTAAATAGATTATAGAAGATTCAGCAGTAGGTGGTGTGAGATTTGGAAGCAGCAAGTGAAAAGTATTTTTACAAGAAAGTTAACAGTGGTGGGAAAGTGGTAGGCCATCACTTAATGCCATTGTGGTGCAGATGGAAAGGCCTTTTTTTTTTGGAAAAAAAAAAAAAAAAAACAAAACCACAGAGTAGATGGGAAGGATCCAAAAGAGAAGGTGACGAAGACGTCAAAGGACAAGAGGTAATAGTTGGAGCACATCTGTGTGAAGAAAAGGGATTCTATGGTGGTTATACAAACGGTAGACTGGTAGACAGAATTAGGTGTACATGTTGCATAGCCTTTTTCCTGAGGCATAAATGGTAGAGAAAAAAATTCAGAATAGTGGTTAACTGTAGAAGGAAGGTATAGATGGAGGAGGCTTTAATAATCTTTATGTTCTGTTTCTTAAGTTGGGTCATGGGTCCGCAGTTATTTATAGTTAATATGTTTATTATGGATTATTTTACATGCATGAAATTCTTCACAATAACAAGTTTTTTTTATAAAGTTCTGTTAGTATGGCACAAACATAAACTAGGAAAAAATGTGTATTACTGTGGCATTGTTATTGATATTTCTGTATTGCATTCAACTACTTTTTTGTCATTTGACATAAAATGGATCATTGTGACTCTCCAGTTTTGAAAGTAAAAAATCAGCAACAACCAAAAATTTAAAAGTTGGCTTAGAGATTTGGTATAGAACATTGTTTGTGTAACACTAATTAGCACCCAGTTTGTATGTAGGAATTTCTGGTAACTAGTTCTCTGAGCCTCGACTCTGATGTCTAGGAATAATTCTAGTGATCGTGACATGAACAACTGGCTTTGAGTGCTTATTGTAGGCTGTCACTCTTCTGAATTTTTTTATATATGTTCCTTCCTCAAAAGAACTCTTTCAAGTAGATTCCTTATTATCCC